GATTGGAACACTAATAGACCAGTGTTCCAACCAGGACAATTCGGTGTTTTCATCTGAATTCATGGCAATTGGCTAAAAAATTCAGAGGGAACCTCTCTCCATGATTTATTTGTTAAAGATCATAGATACAACCTGTTAATTTCATGTAAAACCACTAACCATAAGGCACATTTACATTAATAATATACCAGAACATTTCAAGGTAGAAATTTTGGAATCATTCGTCTCCGAACTTTTCAGATTTTACAGATAATTCTTTACATGTCTACTTCTTTACCATCAATCTGCCTTTTCATGTGTACCTCCACCTTTGTGTTTGTTTCAAAACAACCCTAACTTGTGGTCATTCCCCTGTTTTACACTGCATAACTCTCCACCACATCCTTAATTGGAAACATCAATAAATATCACACAATCTTTCCACCAAGAGATTACATAGGCTATTTTACGGAAGCAAAACGAATCCATGTTAAAAGAATATTCCAAGAGGCTGATATAATAATAGAGAATGATGATATAAAAAAATAATGCAAGAAGAAAGAGGTTGCCTGTAATATCAACAACTATGTTAGCTGAACTTTTAGTTCTCATCACATGGAAATGAACACAAATCTTTTCTTCAATCAAAATTAAAATACAGTATGTAATATTATCTCTGTAAAGGTATGTTACATGCAAGAATCGGCCCAACACACATAAATACTTTGTTGACATTGATAAACTTACCACCTGTTGGACAGAACACATTGAAGGCCAGAGAGAGGTGGAAAACAGCCTTGTGGATAAGACCAGAGCTGCATGCAAGTTGTGCCCTGGCCAAATGATATTGAAATATAGCAGAAATACAACAAACCTAACTGATCACGTGCGAAGAAAACACAGCACGCCGTAGAGTCAACATCCTCAGAATGCTCAGACAGCTTCTAAAAAGCAAAGTAATCATTCAGGCCAGCAGGCTCTTTTAACCTTACTTGCTGCCAGACTGCCACAAAATTCAAGCAGAGCAGACGCAATTTCTGGTCCAATTCTGTGACTTGTTTTCAAAGATCTATGCTCATTCAGTGTTGTACAAAATTCAGGATCTCAGAACCTAGTTCATGTTCTTGAGCCTAGGTATACAATACCTTCCAGACAGCACTTCTCAGATAAGGCACTGCTGGAACTCTACGAACAAAAGAAAACTGAACTGAAAAGTGAACTTGCTGAGGCCGCTGCTCTGGCTTTAGCGACAGATGGCTGGACAAGTCATGCCACTGAATTGTATTTGACAGTCACTTGCAACTATATTGACAAGGATTGGAAGTTGCAAAGTAACGTCCTACAGGTATGAACTTTCCATTAAATTGAAACCCAGTGAAATAATATTATTTCCAATGATCGGTCATTTCAGCAAAGTGTTTGAAAGGATTTTGTCCTTTTTTCCGAAAAATTATTATTGCAGAGAGGGTTATGTACATTTCACCTAGTGGTTGAATAATTTGGAGTTTGAAATTAAGAGATCCTCGCAGCTAAGAACACTACTGAAACGAGTAGTTGAAAATAGGACCTGAAAAAAATTCAGGCCCGTACGGGATTTGAACCCATGACCTCTGCGATACCGGTGCAGCGCTCTACCAACTGAGCTAACAAGCCAACTTTCAGGTTCTTTTTCAACTACTCGTTTCATTAGTGTTCTTAGCTGCAAGGAGCTCTTAATTTCATCTTTTCACCGCAGTGCAAATATATGAATTCCATATATCTAAAATCATCATTCATTATTTGGATGGTTTATTTGGAACTAACAAATTGACCAGCTCCCAGTTGGCTTGTTAGCTCAGTTGGTAAAGCGCTGCACTGGTATCGCAGAGGTCGTGGGTTCAAATCCCGTACGGGCCTGAAAATTTTTTTCAGGTCCTATTTTCAACTACTCGTTTCAGTAGTGTTCTTAGCTGCAAGGACCTCTTAATTTCATCTCTTCACCGCAGTGCAAATATATGAGTTTCATTTATCTAAAATCATCATTAATATGGAGTTTATTTTCATGGCAACAAAACAACTTTATTTTCCTCATGAAATTTTAATTGAGTTTAGCTCTTAGAATACAAACTATCTGTAGATCTGAAGTGACCTGGGGAAGGCGATATTCACCAGCAAGCCATTGTGGTCATATGACATGCATAAATACTGAATGGTAAATATTTTTCTGTCACTGTGAACACTCAAATGTTATCCTTATCTCTTCTTCTAGACAAGGTCCCTGCCAGAAAGCCACACTGGTGTTAACATGGTCAATGTCTTAAGAGAAGCAATGACAGAGTGGAATCTTCCTCCTAGTCCACCTACTGTAACTGACAATGCTTCAAAAATGACAGTGGCAGCATGAGAATTAGGAACTTCTTTACATGTAGGCTGTTTAGCTCATACCTTGAACCTAGCTTGTGGAAAAGCTTTGAAAATTACCGCTGTGAGTCATCTCCTTGCCAGAATGAGACGAGTTGTGGGTTATTTTCACAGAAGTCTTGTTGCAGCTGAAATTCTCAAAGAGAAGCAGAGGCTTTTGCAATTACCAGAACATAATCCGCTGGTAGATGTTGCGACAAGGTGGAATTCAGCACTGGACATGATAAGTAGGTAGCCTGAGCAGCAACCTGCTATTTATGTAGATCTGACGTTTAGGAAACTCCGTAAAAGGGAAAAAGATATTCCTTCATTGTCTGAAAGAGATCTTGCATTTGCTGAAGAATTGGTTGTAGTTTTAACACCACTTAAAATTGCAACAACGGCACTGTGTGAGGAAAGTGTGCTAACCTTGTCAATGATTCTACCTCTGCAGCACCAAATGGTGAGTTAATGAGGGAGAAGGATGATGACTCTGCATTGATAGAGCAGGAAAGAAAAAAGAAGTTGTGTATGATTTCTCAAAAAGATATCAGGACACATATACCAAGAAAGATTTGACAGTGGCAACACTTCTTGACCTATGCTTAAAATCAACACCCCTCCTAAGTGATAAAGATATATTAGATGCATATCATGAACTAACTGTGAAAGCAGTTTTTGCTTTTAGTTCTGCCAATTCAAAAGCTGCTGTCAAGGCTAATGAAGCAGAAGTATCCCAGTCAGAGGCTACTCCAGAGCATCCAGCACTTCCAACTCTACCTGATGAATGCTATGATGACCTCTCCCCAGTCCTGCTAAGAAAATAAGACTGGAAACTAAGGACTCTGAATCAGTTAAGGATAAGCCAATTGCAATGTCAAGTCTCTTTGGAGATGTTTAAATTACATCAGTACAAGAGCAAATGTCAGAACAGGATATTTGCGAGACAGAGGTTTCTCAGTACAAGAAGGAGCCATCCATTAATGCTACAGAAAATCCCCTTAACTGGTACCATGGAAAAAATTAAAACTAGAGCACAATATGTTCCCTACGTGACAAGAGCATAGAGAGAAGCTATAAGGAACAAGAGAAAGTTTGCGAAAAGGTTCAGTCGGAATAAATCTCAGGTTAATCTTAAGTTAAAAAGGAAGTGGAGGAACGAAGCGACTAAACAGGGGAGAAAAGCAATTAAGAGCGACTTTTTTTTATCACCGCGTGGGAGGTGGCACATGATCGGAAAAATCACTATCCTCATATTTCGCTCAGAGATACCTTAGGGTAAGTCTATAAACGTGGTATAATTTTTTGTTCAGAGCTGTTTTTATTTTCTAGAAAATCACCAAACACTGTATCGAGCCCCAACCGCCATAAAATGGCCGAAATGAAGTCGACGAGTAGGGCAACAAAACCTTTATTCCTCAAAAGCGCAAAAGAAAGCAAGTCTTTCTGAATTTTACCAATTTGTATACGAGGTATTAAAAAATGATTTGAATCTAATAACGGGCTTGTTGACATAACTATGAATTATTGGCGAATATTTGAAAATAGCCAAAATTTGATTGATTAAAAATTACATTTTGGAGCAGTTTTTCAATAAAAATTTTTCCCAACCTGGTATTACTCGGAATCACTTGAGATGAGCATTTTTACAAAGTGGAAAGAATGTTCTTTCCATGGATATAAAAATTAATTTGGGGCTCTTAATTACTGCGAAGAAGTAGCCCGGTCTATTTCGTGCAAATCGCAATGCCGCCACGTAAACAACCGCAGATAATCCAATTAGGCTTTTTATTATCGAAGCCATAATTCCAACAAAATCTTATCGCTTTGACCTATACTAGATTGTAAACTGGATTTCTTAAGCTCACCTGGCGAAAAACACCTTTCTAAGATTAGTTTCTTGCCTTAATCTTGTTATAAAGAGACTTGACAACAGCTTCGATACTACAGCACTACAGGCGGTGTATACCAAATCACAGTGAAAACATCTCACGAAGGTTCCTGCCGGAAACGTCGCATTGCTGGACAGTTATAACCATATTTCAGCTTGGAACACTCACATTTACAAGTCTTCCTTTCACAATAAGAATGGAAGTTTGTTTTTTATAGAACGAGCCAGAGCATCCTGACCGATGAAATGAATCACTGACGTTCGTTTTTTGCGATGGTGTCACGCAATAACATGTCACTCGAAAGGAGGCTCGGTTACCAATACGCTCTTATTTTCTTTCCTTCTTATCCCCTATTTTTTATTTCCGGGACAAATTTTTAAATCCAGAATTTAAAATTACCGTTGTTTGCATTTTTTAAGCGCGATACCACTCATGCGTCACCCTAGACTGCTAAATGAATTAGGTATATGTTACTACAGCATAGAGGAAATTTCACTGCATTAATTTTTAACGACGTAAAAAAATGTGTTATCCTATTTTGTAAATTGTGACGGCTTGCAGGGTAGACAGGTGCGGGAGTGGAAAAATTAAATTGGGAGTAGCTTTCTAAAATGCTCAGCGCTAAAAAAATAAATTAGATTAGGCACAGTTTCTAACCATATAATGAGCGTCGCGCCATAAATTTTCCAAAGCAAACTAAAATGGTGTTTTCGTTTGGCCGCCGATTTTTTTAAGAGGTGAGCGTACCAAATGGAAATCAATTGCTCCTTTCAAAGATTAGTTGGGGGATGCTGCTCCAAAGGTAGGCGAAGTCGAGTTGCAGGAAAAACTTCTCTTATGGTCCCCCTGCGCTTATGTGAGAAAGACATCTCAGCACACAAACAGGCTGTGGGCGTGAATGATGTTGAATCGGAAGTCGATCTCATTTTAGCACGGGCACGGGCATCGATATTCACGTTGCCTTCCAATATTTCGGACATGACTATCTGCCCAGCCCATCGCTCCTCTTTGGGCATTGGATGGCGAAGAGGCTCGCAACGGTGTCGTGTTCCATCCGAATTATCGAGGCATGCCAAGGAAGGGAAATCACGAAAGGGTGACCGTGGTATAAACAAAGCGCTTTCGAAGGCAATCCTTCGACGCACGGGAATATTCCTCCCTGTTGGGTCTGGTAAGTCTTTGTAATGTTGTTAATTTACAATAGGACGCTATGACAAACAGGACAAGAAGTTACTAGTAAAAACAAAATTGGCACATTTAAATTAGTACTACCACTGAAGCACACATTTAACCAGCCATTTAATTTTGTAGCGTGAGCTAGTTTAATCAAATTATTTTTTATCAGTGTGTGTTTTTTTTTTTTGTTAACTTCTTGTCGCCAAAAACTAATACACCTCTTTCCTTATCTCACCATGCGGCCTGGGACCGAGATATTTATTTCGGTCAGGGGCTCAGGGCCACTCACTACACCGCAAAACCGCTCTCAGGGAAGAGTGATGGATAGATTTAGGGGACGTTGTTGCGTTGTTGCGTTGTTGGTGCGAGGGGAAGGGCAGGTGATTTGAAAAGCGAAAGGGAGGATAGGATTAAAAAACTGTTTTTGTCTCTGTCAGTAGACCATTTTACAGTTCTGTGATATTTAACCAGGCCTCTGTATGAAAGCGAGGTTTGTGTTGACCTTGACACGATAGAGATAAAAAACTGGTTAGCATAACAATTAAAGGATTTGCATATCAAAAGTAACAGGGTTTGTATCAAAACAAGGTCAACTTGAGCCTCGCTTCCACTCAAAGGCTTGGTATCTAAGCACGCAACTGTAAAAGGGCCTATCCAAGCCCGAAAATTCCCCCAGGCATTCTCATTCTTATTCATTTTCGTTCGTTCGTTCGTTCGTTCGTTCGTTCGTTCTTTCGTTTATTCATTCTCATTCCCCTACCCCGGTGTGGGGCCTTTTCCAAAGACGATCAGCCCGGTTAGTGAAGCATTGTCAGAAACAACGTGATCTTTTCAGTCAACTCTCGTTACAACGAACACCCTCGGGACGTCGTTTAGTGTCCGTAATACAGTGGAACCCCGATATAACGATCCTCGATATAACGATATTCCCGGTATAACGATGAATATTCTATGTCCCTGCAAATGTTACAGTAAACTGTATGGGACCGAACCCCGATATAACGATCTTCGATATAACGATATTCCCGATATAACGATGAGAATGAGTACACAGTACACAGTCACAATTTAAGCAAAACATTGAATTAATACAGTAACCGAGCATCTGTAAAGTTTCCGTCGACAGCTTCTCTTTGACTCCTTTTACCCCGATATAACGATATGTTTGGTTATTTTTCAGCATTATCGTTATATCGGGTTTTCACTTTAGTGAGAGTCCGTAATGCTTGGAGTCATTTCCAGACAAACCTCTTTTGTCGGGGATCTGAATTTTGTCCGTAATAGCGAATGTCCGTAATAGCGAGGTGTCCGCAAAGCGAGAGTTTACTGTAAATGGTTCTGCCCCAACCTGTTGTTTCCGTGTGCAAACGAGAGATGAAGCAAAGAAGAACGCCGGGAAGCAAAAGAGTTGCAGTTTTAGATATTAAAAAGCGATTGAAGCTGTTGCAGGCTCCAGTCGTTCTAATGAAGTTACATTTATTTGGGAATGATTACTTGTATGCGTGAGCTTGCCTCACCGTGGGGCATTTTCCACATTTTCAAAATCAAAAGACAAATGCCCCGGGGGATGAGCGGGCTTGGAATTGACTGAGCCATTAGTATTGATAAATTAGTTTTACTTTACGAACAGTTCGATTATAATTTATAATTTTTTTGTGTGTGTAGGAATTTGTCGTGACTGCAGGACGGCCATTGTTCCGGATACCAAGATAACGGTTACAGAAGCCTGTAGCTCAAGCATAGCTGGCATTGCCAAAAGAATTGAAAATGTTTCTTTGGTGAGCCACTTTAGTGACAGTACGTAGTAGTTTCAGTAGTTTTCACATGTATTTTCGCGTTCATACTCTAAAATTATGTATTTTTACCTATAAAGTTTTTTTTATTTTATTTTTTTTTATCTGATTCAGTTGACATTGTCGCTTGTGTTTGGGCTTTTGCCTTCAGCTCAAGTCTTCTCCTTTTTGCCTGTGTTAATTGAGTTAGTTACATGCTGGAATTTATTTTGACTAATAAGTACTTCTTATAATGTAGCTTTAATTATAGTTAATTTATAGTCTACCGTTTTATACATGAGCCTCTGGCTCGGGCAATTGGGCAACCATGCCTCACGTTAGACAATAAACTTTGATTGATTGATTGATTGATTGATTGATTGATTGATTGGTGAAAGGGCATTATCAATTGCGATTTTAAGAAAATTTGTGATTAAACATGACCTGTTTTCTGATAGACACCCACTTGTGTAGACTTGCATAAACTTACTATGGGTTGTATCTTATTTGATCACGTTGAGATTTCAACGTAAGGAGTTATCCAGCAGTTTCGTTTGTTTGGCAAAACAATCTCCATCATTTATGAATAGCGCTATCAATATTAAATAATTACATTCAAGCCGATGCACGACATTGGAAGTCAATTTATGTAAGTTCAGACTTCCTATTTGTGCTGGCCTCCATCTCGTTTTTTCTATTACTTCTCACCGTGCCTGATGCTTCAGAATTTGAGCGCCAGTGTAGTCCAGTCAAATAAAGCATTTGGAATTAAACACGGTATGACTTTCTACCAAGTTACATACTTATGTTTTCTTATTTCTCTGAGAAAAACAGAAACGCAAAGTAATACTAACAGTAAACACCCGCATACAAGAACACGTGGATTAAGAACATCAGGCTAAAAATTGGGCAATTAAACACCATTTATATACTGAAGAACAAATTCAGCCTGAAAAATAAACATGTTCTTTATGTTTAAAAAAGAAAAAGGATACCAGAAAAAGAAAGCTGGTCTAGAAAAACTAAGAAAATTCGTGTTAACTTATATCATTGATAGTATTTATTTACTTTGAATTTGAATTTTTTTTTAGTGCAAGTAATGAAACATTGTATGCTAATTACACCTCTAGTGATGTATAATGTATACTATTTCTGAAAAAATTTTAAGAACAATTTAATAACACTTTAATAACACTTTCAGGCTGATTTCCACTAAACACCCATTAAACAAAAACACGATCAGCCAGAAGCCCGAAATCAATGTTCTTATATTCAGGTGTTTACTGTACACGCGTGGTTACATTTGTAGGACGAGGGGGAGGATTACGCTGGTGTTCCTCACAGTACTCCCATAACACCAGGAGGAAGTTTCTACATTCCTGAAAGTGACGACACATGCACTTCTTTTGAAGTAACGTTCGATGATCTTCGCGGTGCACAGGCAGAACACAAACCTGCTGACGCCCTTAACGAGTATTTGCAATCCCGAGATACCAGTCCAGTCCGTTCTAGGCTTAACACTCCGTGGGAGATCGCAAGTGAGAGAACGAAGCGTTACTACATACGAAAAGCTGGACAAGGTGTGACCGCCATAATGGAAGATATCGCGCCCAAAAGTCCTGCTGAGTTGTTCCAGGCAATGTGTTCCTCGCAAGCCATCCAAAGAACTTTGTCAAGTGACGAGGAAACTGAGACAACTGTCGATGAAACCCTACTAGGAGCGCTTGCTGATTGCTACCACGCTGCTGGATGTTGGGAGACGCGTCGGCAAATTCTGTCTATCATGGCCGATAAAGTGTCGTTTAAGAAGTTGCGACTTTGGATACCAGACCTGTCAAGTTGTTGTTTTACCGAGGCCAAACGTCATTGCCTGACACACGGGAGAGGAGCACCTGTATCGTCAGCGTAAGCGCCTGTGATGCGTGTTTCCACTGCACAAATAGATCACTTTATCACATTTATCACAAGTGCACATGTTATCCAGGACTTGCCCTTCGGGGAAAGGACTATAACGTTGTCATCAAAAGAGACAATCAAAGTTCCCAACGTTATACGAACCATGGTTCCAGAACGATTAGTAAAGTAGTAACTCGCGTATTGTGAGGAGACAGGATTTAAAGCCCTCAGTCGCAGCACCCTATTGCGTATCTTAAGTGTCTGCGCCGCTTCTGTGAGGAAGTCCTTGCAAGGACTCGATTACATTAGTTCTTCAGGGGCAGAGGCATTTGACGATTTATGCAAAGTGGCCGAGATGTTTGGGGACGCTGGGCAAGGGATGGGGTGGGCAAAACAGCAAGAAACCAACCCAAGGGAAAGCAAGCGCTATCTAAAGAGCGACTACAAGGTACGTTTTATTACTTTGTTTGTTTAATTGCGATCAAACTTTTCTACTGCGATCAAGCTTGCAAGTTAATAAGCTGTTCCAAGCGCGTTTGTTCAGTATAAATTTATTATGTCGCCGTTTGATTATTCCATGAAGGTAGCCGATATTTTTTACTTTCCCCTATGTTCAATGGGTGGACGCTTCTATTTGTAAAGCAATACCCTTTCTTATTCGTTCAGAGTCGAACGAGTTTGCTGATTTTGGATTGGTCGTTCTGATAAAAAGAATAGACGGCGAGAGTCGGTTTATGGTCTTTGAACCCTATCCAGACCAGGGGGGGAGTGCCCGCGCTGACTTTGAGCGTCTATAACTTTTTCAATAATCAACCAAACGCTGCCAAACTTGGCAGCTTTATCTAAAATTTATCTGGAAATAATTTGGTATGACAGGTTGTCGTTTCGGGAACTTAACGTTGCCATGGTAATGTCATTTTGACAGACATCTTTTCTAAATTTGTAATTTTTGTGTTTTAGTAATGGAAATTAGGTTTAATGTAGTTATTTTCACCTTTTTAGGCCTTTTTGGTAACCATTTAAAGCAAGAGAGGATAATTTTATCCTCTCTTGTTTAAAGTAAAAAGCTCTTTGTTTTAGCTGTACCTGTCAGCAGTGACGAACTACATGTAGCTTGAATATTGGTTTCATTGACCAGGAAAACACCTAAAGTATATGACACTGTATTCTTTTCCTTTCTTTCTTTCTTTCTTTCTTTCTTTCTTTCTTTCTTTCTTTCTTTTTTTGCTTTATAAAACCCATTCAGTTAGCTGGTATGGAGGAACTTCCTGATTTCTTGAATCTCCGAGGGTACGCCGCCTCTGTCTTGTCGAGAATTCGGGATCTCAAAGAATGGCCGATTGATTGTTTGATTAAGGGACGGGAAACAACTTTTTCCGAGTTCGAGTTGAGAAAACTGTCAAGTTTCTAGCGATGGCCATTATCATCGTAGCAATCAAGGTACAAAATCGAAAGGTTTAAATTGATGAGCACGCTATCATAAGGAAAATTTAAAAAAACAACAACAACAAAAACAAAAAACAGAGATTGTGTAAGTCCAAAGCTTTAAAAAATGTAATTGTAATGATCTACAGTCAGGCGATATCAAATAACACGTAATGTCTCGCGGCCTGATACAAGCGGCCGACTTTGTGATTCGAAGATTTACGTTTTTAGTGAAGTTTAACGTTCAAAGTGCTTAGATAAAGCACGAAATTGTTAGTCTGTTGTTCTGTTTACATAGTCGGTAGAATTTTTCCAGTGTCATTAGAAAAGAACGCCTCACCGTGGAACCTGTCTGCCTGCCACTGAAGGTCATGGTAGACCTTATCGATCCACTAGGGACACGTAGGTGATGTATATAATCACGGAGCACTAGACAATTAACTTCCAGTTGTTTTAGTTAACTGGGAAGTTCGTCATTTGAGAGGTTACGCATGACGTTTGTTTTTCCCGCGAACGTCAAAAATTCAATTTCTGTCGTCTGTCTTTAGGCGTGTGTACACGGAATTAAGTAGGTTTGTGTTTGTCGTGAATGTGTTATTTTATTTTATTTTATTTTTTGTGCAGGATTTTTTTAAGAATTCCATAAATAGGTAACAAAATGAAAGGCAAGCTTGCGTTTGCCGTTTGCCGTTAAACGTCATGCTTAAAGTGCCTATTGATAAATATAATCTTTGCAAGCGCGAAGTCGTGGAAATAGAGTCGATAACAACGCATGTATAGTCAGTACCAGGGGGTGACTAAATTTACGAAAACGTCAAAAAGTAGTTTTTCAGAATGGCACTGATTCAAACACTCAAAAGAGATCTACAGCGTTTTTTAAGTGAATTCGCGCAGGTTTTTGTTTAAAACATAACACTGACTAAGAAATAAATATTAGTTGGCCCTGCACTCGTTACAGCGATGTCTGCAGACGAATGCCTGTCTGGGTGTCCTGTGCACGTTTAGCGTGATTGCGTGACAAACATGAGTGATGACACACGACTTCGTTGGTGAACATCGTTGTGCCATTTGGGGAGCCAAACGTTTCTTAACTGAAACTGTAAGCAATCAAAGCATATTGGTTTATCGTGCAAAAAATACTTTTGTATATACTGGAGTTGTATGGAAGCAGAAATAAGTCAAGAGTTGCGATGGTCTGCGATGATTTATGAACAGCTTCGAGTATTGTAAATGGTCAAGCCGGACGTTGTAAACACTTTTCAAGTGAACATGGCGATTTGAAACAAAAACAATGGAAACATCACTCCTTAATCACTGGTTTCAGAAGGTAAGGGTAACATATTGAGTTTCTGATAAAGCTCAGCTCAAAGCGGTAAGATTTCGCAGAAATTATGGCTTCGATAATAAAAGAATAATTGGATTATCTGCGGTTGTTTACACGGCGGCGTTGCGATTTGCACGAAATAGATCGGGCTATTTCTTCGCAGTAATTAAGAGCCCCAAATTAATTTTTATACCCTTGAAAAGAACATCGTTTCCAATTTTCAGAAATGCTCATCTCCAGTGATTCCGCGTTATACCGAGTAGGAAAAATTTTTATTGAAAAACTGCTCCAAAATGAAATTTTTAATCAATCAAATTTTGGCGATTTTCAAATATTCGCCAATAATTCATAGTTATGTCAATAATGCCGTTATTAGATTCAAATCATTTGTTAATACCTCGTATACAAATAGATAATATTCGGAAAGACTTGCTTTCTTTTGCACTTTTGAAGAATAACGTTTTTGTTACCCTACTCGTCGGCTTCATTTCGGCCACTGTTATGGCGGTTGGGGCTCGATACAGTGTTTGGTGATTTTCTAGAAAATAAAAACAGTTCTGAACAAAAAAATTATACCACGTTTATAGACTTACCCTAAGGTATGTTTGAGCGAAGTATGAAAGAAGGGCTTTTTCTAGGCATGTGCCACATTTTTTTTATTTCACGCGGTCTCCAGTAAAATTCTCTCTTAAAGCGTACTGGAACAAGGTGGCTGAAAATCTAGCTACTAACCCAAGAAAATTCTACAGTACCTTTAAGCCCTTCTTAAATAGGAAATCAGACATGTTGACTGGGAACGAAAAACATTTGAAAATTAACGATCTTGTCGAAACTGATCAAACCGTTGTAGCAGAACGATTTGCTGATTATTTTTCAACAATGGCCCTCAATGGTACCGCCAGAAATATCTTAAAGCTTGAGGAGAATGACTTTGATACACGTCTGTATTCAAGCAATAAGATCTGCTGTATCTACAATTACTGGTATCAAGCCATTTAGTTTTAATACAATACATCCAGCTGAGGTACAAAAAGCACTAAATGAGTTAAACCCAAGAAAAGCATCTGGACAGGACAAGATATCCCCTCGCATATTGAAACTGTTATCAAACGAACTGGCTCCATCCCTCTGCAAAATATTCAACACTGCTATAGAGTCATCGAAATGGCCAGAGGATTGGAAGCGAGGCACCTGGACACCTGTTTTTAAAAAGGGAAATAAACAAGATGTAAGCAACTATGGGCCGATAACAGTGATTCCAACTGCTGGAAAAATCTATGAAAAACTTCTCTGTGATCAAATTAGTAATCACATGGACCCTATTTTAAGTCCAAACATAACAGCATACAGAAAAAATCATAGTTGTGACACGACCTTGTTACGGCTTGTGGAGAAACGGAAAAAGGAATTAGATTGTGGAAAAGTCATAGCAGTTCTGTCAACTGATATGAGCAAGGCTTTCGAATTGCTCTATTCTCCTCTGCCAATTAAGAAACTGGAAGCGTAGAACTTCTCTGCTAAAGCATTAGAACTTATGCGATCACATTTCAACCAAAGAAAAAACAGAGTGCAGCAAGGCCCCGTCTATAGCCAGTGGAAAGAATATTTACGTGGATGCCCACAGGGATCCTGTTTTGGTCCCTGTATGTGGAACCTTTATCAAAATGATCTCAACTACAATATGAAGAGCTGTAACATATCAATGTATGCCGATCATCATTCAGTCTGCTGGAAATCAAATTTAAAAATGGTACGAGCAGAATCTACTGCAAGTAAATGGCAAGAAATACCAAGCTATGTTGCTGAATATTGGAGGAAAAGAAAATGGCACCTCTATTGATATCTTATGTGGAAATGAAATTGTTGGTCATTCTGATAAATTTAAGCTTTTGAGTGTGACAATTGACAATCAACTAAATTTCTCAGAAAACATCAGTCAACTATGTCAAAAGGCGAGTCGACAAGTCGGTGTATTAATGCGAATGAAGAAATTAGTACCTGAACGAGCCAAATTAGTATTCTATAGGTCTTCAATATTACCACACTTAACATATTGTCAGAAAATCTGGCACTTTGCAAGGGCATCCGACAAAAGAAAACTGGAACGTATGCAGGAGAAAGCCCTAAGGGCTGTCTTCCTCAACAAAACATCCACGTATGAGCAGCTATTGGTTAAGGCAAACCGACCATCTCTAAACAACAGAAGACTACAGGATATACTAATACTGATGTATAAAGTGAAGGATAGTAAGGCACATAGCTTC